TACGTAAAAATATCAGTTTGTCTCAGGACACGGAGAAAATGACAAAATATTTCGAATAAGTCACTAAGGAGGATTGCGAAAGAGTATCTATGGCTAAAGCCATCCAAAATTCAATAGCGGCAGTTTCTCTCAAGTGCCTTCAAGCAAAAACAGTTTGGCACAAGAGAAAATGTTGAGGGAGATGCAGCGTGCCGCAGACAAAGTTTTCATTTGGTCGGACGAGAGGTTTTTCATTGTGGAGACCTTCCCGAATGTATAAGAACACGTTTAGAACGACAGAAACCAACTGTTGTCATGGTTCGGGCTACTGTTGCTTCTGACGGTCTGAAATCGCCCCTGGGTGTTCATTGAAGAAGAAGACATGAAAATCAATAGCAGAGAACCCCAACAGGCAATGGAATTGAAAACTTCTGAAACGATGTATAACTGCCAGACATTTTAAAATCACTGAAAAGATGCGTTACATGATGGAACCATCATCCCCATCATGCTCGGAACTGTTCTCACGAACTTTATAAAAGTTTGGAAGAACCAAATACTCGAGGAAGAATTAAGATTATCCTGAGATCTGCATAAGATCAGGGAGGATAATGTTGCAGACTTACCCTCACATGATACGCAATGAAGGTCTCCGGTAAATACTGACGAGAAGAGAATATAAAAAATATCAGTCAGTTATGTGCCATGCATAATACACGCTTAGGGCGATCATGTATCTTATGATACATGATTGACGTAGATTGAGTCGTAATGGATGCTCCCTGCCTTACCCATTATTATAATGGTTGGTGAAAAAAAAAACAGGGAATTGTGCGTAGAAAATTCGTTATATGAGTAAATGAGAAATTCGTTGGTGAGAGGATTGATCAAGCATCAAGACTTATTTGATGAACTCTTTGCCTTCGTACAAAGAGTACCCAGACGATACTATGCCAAAGGGCAGTGTCTCGTCTGGTACGGTTGACAAAGCCGACTCCGTGTATACGGGCTATACGGGTAATTTTTGCCCGAACCTATGGTCACGGATCGACCCTGATAAAACCGGTCTTGTGCCACATCCTGGGGAGGTCGGATAAATACCGGCTTGATCTGGCATCAAGACATCTTGTTGAATTCTATATCCTCGGGCACAAAAGGACCCAGACGAGGTGATGCCGAAGAGCAGAGTGTCGCCTGGAGAGGTAGAAAACCCGACCCCATGTATGCGAGGCCTAAAGGAAATTTTACCCGAGCCTACGGATCGACCCACAAAAAATCAGCCTTGTGCCACATCCTGCTCCTTGGGGAGGTCGGGTAAATACTGGCTTGATCAGACATCATGACTTATTTGTCAAACTCTCTGCCTTCGGGCAGAGAGGAACCCAGACGAGGCTATGCCAAAGGACAGTCTCGTCTGGGGAGGTTGACAAATCCGATTCTATGTATGCGGCTCTCACGGGGAATTTTGCCCGAGCCTACGAGCTTGAGTCGACCCAACATAAAATCGGCCTTGTTCCAAACCCCGCCGAGTAAATGCCGGCTTAAGTACCAAGCAATCTCACAAACGGACGGGAAAACGAAAGAAAGAAGCACTGGCAAAGAGGAAAAACGAAATAAAACAAGAAGCATGTGAAAGTCGAAAAGAAAAGAAAATTATTTTGACCCCAAAATAACAGTAAATATTTATTAGTTGAATGCTGTAGTGCAATAGTTAGCAACCTTTCTCTCGGTACAATTCAGGGCTCTATGAGTTCTATCCTTATTTAACGCCCTTTTGTGGCTTTTTTATCAGACTTGTTCATTTTTTTACTAATTAGAGATTCAAGCAGGGGCCCTCCATTATAGCTAAACATGTTTTTACCTCGAGCGATTACGATCAATGCCTGCATTAATGTTCTGATTTCATTTTGTAGCAATACATATGTCTAAGCTGGGGTTAAATTTTGATATTTAATCAACATTTGTCACGGAGTATCTTGCTCGCTAATTGGGCATAGACTCGCTGTCAGTGAATAATTTGGAGATTTGTAAAGAACTGCAGTATGGTGCAATGTGAAGAAGAAAGCATCAACTTCGTCCTATTAAAGCTGTTGCTTTTCCTGGGCAAACTGCAAATATATTTCCTATTTTTCTTCTGGATCGTGGTTATCCCAAGAGATTTAGTGACAATTAAGCCTCATTAAATATTTAGTAGCTTCCTCGCAGTGTCAATTTTACAAGAATCATCTGATCTCGACTCATGTGTTTATGATACTGTTCCAAACGGTCAGCATTTATGAGTTTAAAGTTTCTGTTTCATAGGTTTTTTTTTTTATATTTCCGGGGGAGGTTTTGGTAAATTTCCATTTTTCCTCAATTTAGTAGGTCTCCTTTCATTTTTTTTTTTTTTTTTTTTTTTTTTAGTTAAGTTTGAGTTTGATTTTTGTGATTCCACGGTTGAACACAATTCGTTTGCTTAGTTCCCTGTGTTTAACTGTTCCTACTCTGCCATGTATTTTGTATATTTGTTTTTACTTTTATTCGTTATAATCCGTTTGTTACATAATGTGATTCACCGACTCATTTTTTTTCTCAATAAACACTGTTTTCTTCCTCCTCTAGTTTTTTTTTTGTACATATTTTTTTGGTATCATCTCAATAATAAATTTTCAATTTTTTTTTTTTTATTTTAATGGTGATATACTCTGAATGGTTTCGTATCTTAAGTTCTTTCAGTCGCTGCTAGATTCTTTGACATTACTTGAAAGTCTTAAACAACGATGAATAAAACCTTTCACATCTATTTTCCAGGAATTTTGAATCCGTCTGGAAATATTATATTTTCCAGTTGTTTACTTTGTTTTAAGTTTTAATCAAATCAGTGGGTTGTTGGGATGGCGACGCCTGCTTTTTGTTTTTTTCTTTAGTTTTTGCTCGTCTTCCGGTCAGGATGATTTGATAGATTGAATTTGAATGCAGCCATGTTTCCATTCTCAGGACAACAGATTTTCGTTTATCATATTTTCGCGCGGGGCTAATTCGTATGTGCACTTTTTTTTCTCAAAGAACAAACAGAAATTAATGACTTTGGGATGCTACTACTTCAGCTACTCTCAGGTGCATGTAACATCCTAATATTGTCCTAACACACTAAAACTGAAACAGTCTGTTACCGATATAATGTTTAACATGGCACGTGGAACTAAAACAGTCTACCACAGCGAGCGAAATAAAGGGTTCACTTCGACATTCCAACCACCTAAAGAAGCGTACAACGGCCGAAAATTTCTAATAAATATGGCGACAAAGATGAGGACAACAGTCCGAATAATGTAAATAATGAACATAATACCTCATCTCAGAAATATAGAAAGATTTTATCCTCTTAAATAGAAATGTTGACTTTTTCTTGTCGTCGCCTGGAAGACATGTTGTCTTTTGAGAGACCTGCCTCATCTTTTACTTAATATTTTCGTTTGATGACCTTTTCAAAGGTGAAACCGATTAAAACATTTCAAACGGGATAATGAAAGAAATAAAAGAATCCAATTAAACTGAGACAAACCGAAAACTGATTTCCACCAAATTCTTTCAAAACATTCGTTTCATAGAATAACATTTTAAAATCTCTTTTCTGCATTATCATCAGTTACTAAACATGTATAAAAAAAAACATTTACTTTTATTTTTCTTTTGCTTCCTTTCTTTTAAGATGTTCGAAATTCATTCGTTTGAACTTAGTGCTGCCATTTTTAAAAGGTTCCTTTTAGCTCCTGCCTAAAAATTAACCAAAAAATATTTTATAAGACCAGCTCTACAAACCGCAGACATATTAGTTTTGCTTTGTTCGAAGTTTTTTAAGAGTTTTATTCAATGATGCAAACAATCTAAAATATGTTTTATGAAAAATATTATATAAAAATATTATAAGTGAATAAATAAATGATAAAACAGGAAACTGTTTTCAGATGATCTTTTTCTGAATGAAACGGTTTTGTTGAGACAAATATTCCTATAAAATCAAGAATCTATACTGGCAGCAAACCGTCTGCATACACACAGAAAATGAGTTCAGCAGATATAGAAAAATAGAAAGGGGCGTAAGACAAGGGTGTGTCTTTTTACTGGACCTATCCAACTCATACAGCGAGGCAATTCTGAGAGAATTAGAAGTCCTACCAGGATTCATTATTGGCGGCAACAATCTTAGCAATATAAAATATGCAGACGACAGAGTGTTGATAGCAGACACGGAAAGGAAACTACAGAAGCTTCTACAGAAGATAGCGAATGAAAGCGAATAGAAAAGACTAAATATAAACTTCAAGACAGAATGCATGGTTATCAGCAAAAGGATGGAACCAAAATGCAAATTACGAATCGGGAATGATAAAATCAAACAAATACAAAAATTTAAATATCTGGGCAGTGTTCTAACATAGGACGGAAAGTGCGACACTGAGATTCGAAGATGTATTAGGATAGCCAAAGATGCATTCCAAAAGCTAAGCTGAGTATTAAGAGACAGAAAAATTACGTTAGAAACAAAAAAAAATAGAGTATTGAACTGTTACTGTCCTCTTATATGGTAGAGAGTGCTGGACAATCTCCTCACAGATAAAAAAAAACTTAAAGCAACAGAAATGTGGTTATACAGAAAGATGCTGAGGATAACATGGATCGAACATGTAAGCAACGATGAGGTTTTGGAAAAATTGGAAACAAAAATGAAGCTCATACTTCACATCAGGAAGAGGTAGTTGAAATTTCTGGGGTACGTAATGAGGAAGAAGGGCTTGGAAAATCTGATACTCACAGGACAGACTGATGGAAAGAGGGACAGAGAAAAGCAGCGCGTAACATACTTGATGAGCTTGAACAAATTGATAATAAAACAAGGGTTGTGAGAAATAACAAATTAGCAAAACTTATTAAGAGATAAAAGGGACAGGAAGATGTGGAGAGGCATGATCGCCTAAGTCCTGAAAGGACACGGCACATAAAAGAATTCCTATACAGTAAAGGAAAATACAACAGAAATTTACGGCTATATCACGTTGAAACATCAGTACACATAGGATCGCCGAAGTTAAGCAACGCCGAACTTGGTCAGTACTTCGATGGGTGACCCTTGAGAATACCTGGTGCTGTAAGCTTGGATGTGTGGGTGGTGTAATGGATAATGGCTTGGAATTGTTAATCGAAGAGCCGAGTTCCAATTCCCTTTGGGTTCGTTATATTAAGTTACGCACGAATACCCTTGAGAAAGGTACAGATCCACCTCTTCCTCCCAGCTATGTGTTAATTAGACAGAGTTATATCACTAAACCATTATTATCTACAAAATAACTCTTACAATCTAAAAAAAATGCTTTCACTTCAAATAATCTTCAATGGATTGATAAGCCGTAGAAAACGAATCAATCATAGGTTACAAGACATGTATTAAAATACATTCTCTTTTCTTTGGATTTTCATAGTTTTTTTTTTTTTTATCTAGGTACGACGATAAACTACATCCAGTAGCAATGCTTCTGATTGGGAGATGGGGGTTTTGAGATGCGCGAAATCACCTCTTAGTAGCTGTTGTTCCCAAATTCAATCTGAGTCAGGGTGGTAGCACTTGTTAGGGTCCCAACTATGGGCAAATACTAAACCTCCAAACATAACCACTATGAAAGTGTTAAAATACAAAAAATTACCAAAAATACATCTTTATACTAAAATTACCAACAATACCCTTTTAAAGCAAAATTACTAACAATACATTTTATCTGTAGTTGAAGTCATGCAATTACTTTCAAAATATATTTAGTTGAAGCCATAAAATTGTGTTCAAAATATCTGGATTTCGACATTAAATATTCCATAGAAGTTGATATGCCGCTAAACAAAAAGAACCAACCAATCCTTCCTTCTTTTACTGAAGAGCAATCGGTGTTTCAGCCGAATAACTAAAGAAAGAATCCAAGTTAGTAAATCGATTCGCTAGCCACTTAGCTGTATACGCAAGAAAAGGCAATCATAATATCTAAGTTCCATCTCGTCAAATCTCTGCGATTTCTTAGACAATTTCAACTAAGATTCAATTGGTCGACGTTGGCCTTCTGCCACTTTTCAACCTAAACCTAATTCTCGAGTGACCATTAAACAAAGGACAAGTATCAGGCCTCAGGTAAAGCAACTGAGCATGGGGAGCCGGACACCCTATCTCAATATTGCCATCTCCATTGCAATCATTATTGGCACTGCGTCAAAACCTTTAAGAAATGCTCTGAACCAAGTATTCACTACGTTTTCCGATTCTTGTTTGTTTCTACAAATTCAATAGTGAAATGACACCTCGATCAGTGGATCAGCTTCAGCAACTCTTCTAAATTTCCCCTCTCGCTTTTGACAGCATCAGTCTATTTAATGACGTCATCTCAGTCATGGCATAGCTCATAACTAAAATGTCAGGATGGAGACGATAGGAGACATGAAATTCGCCAATTTTTAATTCCAAATTGATTTGGGTGAAGTTCAAGCCGACAGCCATTCCTAGTGGTATTCCATTAATACAACTTTATTCTTTATGAGAATTTGCTCATACGCCATTACTGGGAAAACAGCGAGACGCTTGGCAGTATTTCTTTTGGTGCTACCATTTTATTTTCTTAGATATTTTACAAAGCACATAAACACATTGTGCATTTGAGAAGGAATTTGTCATTTATGCTGGTTTTGTTAAAGACCAACAACCTTCTGTTTATTCGTTCAATCAATATTTTTCCAATTCTGGTAATTCTTCCAAATTGCAAGCTGAGGTTTAACATAAATTGTTCAATATTTTTTAAGCGTTTTCGGCATTTTTTTATAATCAAAGAATATTTGGGGGACTAAGAATTGATCCAGAAATATACGTTTGAGGTTTTTGGGGTTTTTTTGGGGGGTGGGGGTTGTTTTTTTTTGTTTTGTTTTTTTTTTTTGTTTACTGTTTTTATCACGTATCGGCTTGATATTTTTTTCTTGTTTTCTTTTTTTTCTAATATCTAGTCTTTTAAGTCAGGGTAACCTACAAGCTGTCACTTTTTTCTTGACTTTTTTTAGTTGTTAAATATATTAAATATCTCTGTACCTGAAAATAGAAAATGTGTTGTTTGAAAACTACCCAAAAACTGAACATATCTGTAGATGCATTCTTTTGAATCCCCGTGTCCTTCGATATGGGGATTAAAATGTGCATTGTGATGTAATGGATATCAGTTCAGAATGAGAAATCAGAGAGCTGAGTTCGAATTCCAGTCGGGTTCGTTACATTCACTTACGTGCAAATACCCTTAGGAAAAGTAAGAATCCATCTCTTCTTTCCTCCAGCTTCGGGTTGAATATCACGGCAGACTGGGATCTATAGTCTTGACAACCAGTCTATCGCAGAAAGAAACGAAAGCCTACTGCGGGAAAATCTTCTGCCTCGTCAGTCATGATCGCGTCAGTTATGATCGTCCAAGCTTGTATCACGGATGGCACTTAACCGAGTGAATAATTCTTTCATAACTTACGAAAGCAGAAAGGACAATTTTGGTTCAACCTCAACACGGAACATAGAAAATCAGAATCAAAGAAAAAAAATAATTTAAGGCAAGACGTTATGTTGGTCTTTATCCAAATTACCGCGCACACACACACACACATACACATACACAAACACAAACACACGCACACTCACAAGCACAAACACACGCACACACCAGACAAAATGCATGTAGTTACTGTATTGTTATGGTGAAACACACCTATTCTATAGTTCATAGACTCTCCCACCTAATATAAGTAGGAGTAGTAAGAGAAACGATGGTCAGTCGATGTCGGACGACCGGCTGAACGGTTGAACTCTCTGCCTTCGGGCGGGGAGGAACCCGAATGAGGCTACGCCGAATGGCGGAGTCTCGTTCGGGGAGGTAAACCGACCCTGAACCCATTTATACGGGTTCAAAGGGTATATTTTTGGCCGAGCCCACGGGCTCGGAGATCCCACGTTAAACCGGCCTTGTGCCACATGATACCCTCGTGGTGGTGGGGGGGGTGACTAAATACTAGTCGATGTCGGTCGACAGTTAGTCGAATACGAAAGTATCAGCCACCACAACAAGATTACTCTGCGTAATACCTATTATATCAAGTTCCTAACGTTTTGTACGTCGAACCTATTTTAGGGCCGATTTAGTACAAATACAAGCCTCCACTGCGAAATCATTCCACAACATGTATAGATTTCTTTTTAATAATATATGTATGGAGAACGAATATATGCATACATACTGGCAAAAACAAACACACTAGACGGACCACACACACACACACACACACACAAACCCCACACACCATACAAAGTGTATATATACACTATTTCCTTGTAATAATACAATATATATGTACTGAGAAAGAAGATATATACACATAATGGCAAAACACGCACACACACAATACACAAGAATTGAGGAAGGTCTGAAGAGATACAGGGAGACATAAATAGATAAGAACAAAGGCCTCCTTTCTTTCTCTTTCTCTTTCTCAGACCATTGTTTTATTCTCTGTAATTGTTTTATTAACCCTTTAGCAAAGGAACATTTTTTGGCCAGTGCCAATTGAGTTCAGATTACTCCTACACACAAAAACACTGGTCAAAAAACTTAACATAAGAAGAAGAAAAAAATAATTCCTTTAGATATGTGGAAATAACTTTTCTTCGCCTGATGAAGATCAAAAGACCCGAAACGCGTGTAGCAAAAATATATAGCATAAAGTATATAAAAAAACATCCACATTAAAATAAAAAAATGCTTGCGGCTTCTTCACCTTTTAACATATATATATATATATATATATATATATATATATATATATATATATTGGCATCCACAGACAGACTGTTTCGCTGTATCACAGCTCATCAATGTGGATAGACGTCCGGTTACATCTAGCTAGGATCGAAACCCGAATAGATTGGTATCTTCGCCATATATATATATATATATATATATATATATATATAATGCAAGTAAAAGGTTTGACACGTAGCTAATTGATGTAACGTTCATAGCTCGACTCCAGAGTTTCGTAGATAACGCTGTCAAAGCGTAAGCTGGAAGGACTGTGGCCATCAAAATTTTGGCCATTTGAAGAGGCTACTGACTTATGGTGTTTCATGTTTTTCTTCCTCTCTAGTTTGGCGCCATTCTTCAAAAAGCAAAACTGCCTAAAAGAACTGATGCCCAAGTATCGTCGCAGTCGATTCCACAAATGACACACGTCTTCTTATTAGCTTCCTTTACCTTTTCTATGGCGACTTTTTTTTTTTTTTTTTGCTGCCCAGTAGACAATTTATCAAACAGTTGGATCTTTGACAGACGACTGGCGTTAAAAACCTGACACGTGACTTGTCTATTTCATCATCTCAGTGAAGACTCTGAGTTTTCTCGGATCATTATGAACGGTTGTACTGTCAATGAAGATCCTTGGTTGGAACGTCTGTTAAGGCTCAACATCACTGCAGACCTCAACTGAAACTCGTATATGCCTCGCTAAAGACGCAAGGAATATGATAGGTTCCCGGTACCACAGCAGGAAGTACCTGACTTCCTCTTACAGTGCATTGCAAAAGTCTACACCCCCCTTGAAAAGTGGATGTATTTTGTTTATTTTGATAGGAACAATTAGTATTTTAAACTCCAATAATTTCTTTTAATAAGCAGATCTATCACACTGTTATTTAATACACAAAATACATTTGAACAATTTAAAACTGATTCTTAAATAAAGATAATTTTGAAAAATGCCTTTGCAAAAGTCTACACCCCCTTTGGAATGTCTTCAGCTAATACTTTGTGGATGATCCTGCTGCGTCAATTACAGCCTGCAGAAGCCTCGGGTAGCCTTCCACAAGCTTACTGATGTGGTCTGCTGTCAGTGTTTGCCATTCTTCATGGCAGAACGTCTCGAGCTGTGTTAGATTGGATGGGGAACGTCGATGCACAGCCAGCTTTCGATCTCGCCATAGATTTTCTATAGGATTGAGGTCTGGAGACTGGCTGGGCCACTCCGACACTGTGATCTTCTTGCTAGCAAACCAAACTTTAGTGCTTTTTGACACATGCTTGGGGTCGTTATCTTGT